TAGAAGACAAGCAAATAAAGGTAAGGCATGTGAGAAAGAGGCATGTTTTGCGGCAATATCACGAGGCCACTATGCGACTTTATTATCTCGATGTCAATATATATGCTCATCGCTTGGCTTCTCCTACTTGAACTCTTGCTTCTAACGCACCTTCTCCGAGTATCTTTTCCACTTAACATACATTTGTATACTCACTCATGACAAATTCTTAAGTTCACCCCTAAAGTGAGCATTTAAATTTATTAACCAATAGGATTTCATTATTTTATATTTAGTATTTAAAAAACATATTATCGTGTTATATTTGTTTTTAAAACGAAAAGATAAAAATAAATAAAAAAATAATAATAGTTGCAAGAAAAAAACTTTTAATTTTTTTTTTAATACCGCCAGTAAAACACTAAATCCTTGAGTAAGTCCTCAACTTTTGGATTTTTTAAATCCTAAGATTTAAGATTAATCCCCAATATTTAAGATTAATCTAAGAGTTTAGAGTTTACCCAAAAATTTAAAGTTTATGATTTAAGGTTCAGTGTTTCGCTAACGATATTAAGATATTTTTCAAAAGTCAAAGATTTATCCAACGATTTAAGGTTTACATAAAGGTTTTAGGTTTAAGAATTAGGGTTTAAGACTAAGTGTTTTGATAATAGTATTAAAAATTAATTTTTTTGCACCTACTATTATTTTTTATTTATTTATCTTTAAATTTTAAAAACATAATATAAGTCAATAATATTTTTTTTTAGAAAGAACTGTATATAAAATAATTCTATGGTTGGTGAATTTAAAGGTGAACCCAAGAATTATTCTCACTACAATACCGAACAGTGGTAGGCATTAATCAAACCTTGCCATATTAATTGTCCCAAAACTATAGTTAGACAAAAAAAAATTGTTTTTTTCTTTGGCTGTCGACAATCAATATCAAATTCTGATATCATTTCTCCAAAATATCGTTTCTATTTCATGTCTCCTATCTTGAATATGATCTGATCAATACTAAGAATTTTTTTGTGATATGCATACAATAATAATTTTAAATTTCTTATAATTATAAAATATTTAGTGTTATTTTGATATTATTTTTTATATTTTAATTCTATCAATTAAAAAATCATAAATGTAGCTATATATAGTTTTGTTTCTTTTGATTTAGTTTAATTATTTTTATATTATATTATTTAAAATTCAAAATAATTTTTTATTTATTTATTTTAATTAAAATACGTTAAAAGGTCAAAATCAAATTGTTAATTTACTTAATGAACCAATCACCTTAAATAAATTTTTAGGCAATTAACTATCTGATGAGTATAGTTTTAAATTTATATTTGTAAGCACACTTATAAATAATTTTGATGATATATATATACACCAAATTTAAGAAACATAAATAAAAATTAGTCACTACTATATTTCAAAATATTTGACAAAATACTTTAAAAAAAAACTTTACTTTAATAGTTGATGTGGGATTTATTAGTTATTACTATATTTTTAAAATAATATTACCAAAAGTACAAACAATTATAAAATAAATTATACATGTCATAATTAAGTGATGCCATGTAATAGTTTCTCAAATTTAAGTCATTATCTTGGTGAGAATGAATATGGTGATGACAAATAAACAAATCACTTCTTAAATAATGTCTAGTAGATTTCAAGAACATAAAAAATTAGTCACTATTATGTTTCAAAAAATTTGATAAAAACAACTTTTTTAAAAAACAATTTTACTTTAGTAATTGATGGAGGAGTTATTAGTTACTACCATATTAAAAAAATATCATAAGAAATATAAAAATTATTAAAAAAATTATACATGTCGTAATTAAGTGATGTTATGTCATAATTTCTCAAAGAGAAATTTTTTTGGATAGCCTTTTTAATTTATTTTTTAAAAAACAGTCTTCAGGGAGGAAATGGCCATAAGAGGTTTATTTAAACGGTAAATATGCATTTATATTCCAGGATTAACTAATCTAAACCTAGAACTTAGAGTTAAAGGGTGAGGTTTTGGGAATAGAGTTTCAAATTATAAAAAATTAAAAAAAATAAACATTACAAATTTTAAATTAAAAAATGCTACTTTGGTCATTTTATTATTAAGGAAATATTTTGTGACAAAAACTTAAAACTGATCATTTGAAAGAATTGTTCTTTCTCTAAACTATGTTATTTTTTTGGGTGAGAATAAATATAATGATGACAAATAAACAAATCTTATTATATAAAGTAGATTTTTTTCTCATGTGAAGCTGTCATGTCACTAACTTTTCTCTTATGATAATTACATGTGGCACATTTTTATATTGGCAAACAAAATTTTATATGTGGTGATTTGGAGGCGACAACAAAAACGCCTCTTAACTTCACGTACGTGCAAATATAAGAAAAGAATAAAAACACATAATAAGAATAGTAGATAAACATGGGTGTGGGGAAGAGAAGAAGAAGAAAAATTAAAGTTGACCTCATGAATGATTGTAATGTGGCTAGGGTTACATAAAGATTAGATGCATACGTTTTTTTGCTATATAAACTTTTTGTACTTTTAGTTAGATTTAAATGTGCAAAGGTGCCCAATGATCCAACTATAGAATCAATTTTACAATTTCTGTGACTAAAACGAGATTAATAAAAGCCCTACTAGAACCATAATTTAAAGAACCAAATTGAACCAGACAATACGATTCCCACTTGCAGCCCAAGTTAGAAACTGAAACGTGAATAAAATCCTACGAGATCTATCGTCGATGAAAAGAGACCAGAATCCCGTATTCTCACGAATCGGATTAATGGTTTGGTTCAACTCATAATTAATTAGAAAAAACTAATAATAATGGGAACTATTGATAATACAAACTAAATCAAATAATATATTTAAAATATAGATAAAATATATATATTCAAAATAAGATCAAACATAAATACATTTTAACAATTATAGAGATAAATTTTCAAATGCATACGAATATAATTATTTTTAATTATAAAATAACAAAGGAAATAAAAATATTAATTACAATAATATATAAAACACATTAGAGTGTTAAATCATACAATACTAAAAGGGCAATATAAGTCTTAGATAGGCTGTCCACGTGGACAAAAATAATCAACCAATGAGAATATTTCGTTTTGCCACATCAGCATTTTGTGGGCCTCACATTCGTTAATTTCCAATTGTGTGCCGTTTTGGGACTCGCGTGGCGTTTATATTTTTACTTTAGATAGCTTGCTTTTTTTTTCAATTGATATGTACATTTACTTTGATCTCTTCCTCTTTTCCAACTTGAAAGTGAAACATCTATTATTCTCTTCATCGCATGCTTTAATTTGATTTTTCAGTTCTTCTTCCTTTCTTCTTTCTCCTCCTTCTCCAATTTACAAACATTTTTACAACTAAGCGTTAGATTCTTAGGTTACCTAGATATGCTCAATTATTGAATCAGCTCCAAAATGTCATCAACGTTTGTAAACCAATCAACCTAAGAATCGCCCAATCTGTTGTTTTTCGCATCATCCAATTCTGGGATTTGAAGAGCATCAACAAGAATAGGCAGTTTATGTAGATAACCCTCCTCCTCTTCGCTGACAGATGGGTATTTCTCAGATATATTTTCTTAATTCTTTTTA